CTTATTTATTTTTTGGTGTAGGAAAGCAAGTGTTTTTCCACTGTCAGAAGGATCTTGAAGTACTCCATTTTAATTTGCACGTGATGAACCGAGCGGTGGTCGGCAGCACTATCCCGGGTTTTTATTCCGAGCAGTGGGACGTGATATCTCAGCAGCCCAGCCCAGTATTTGCGAGTGTTTCACCTTGCTATATTATACTCCCTCTGTAAACTAATATAAGAGTGTTTAGTTTACGGAGGGAGTATTTGCATGTGTCGACTTCTTTTTGGATGCCTGTACTGTAAATGCCAATGAAATCATCAATTTCTTTGCTCGGACCGAGCACAACTTTTGTTACTGCATGAAACACGCAAACTGATACAGAGGTGTCCAGATTTAGTATGCATATACATAGGAGATGGAACCCAGTTCAAATAACTATATCAAGCTGAAGGCATGGACACCCTCAGATGTGTGAAGTGCACTTCCAGAGGAAAGGCGATGCTGGTTGGTGCTTTCAGTTCACCAAAGCACCTTCACTAATGAGTGAAGCAGGGGATTAAAAGACATTGCCATGATGACCAACTTATTATTCCATCTTACAAGCTTGTGGCTGCCATGCCCTTCTTCTTTTGCTTTTGCTTTTCTTTGTCGAGTGTGCTATGTGTATGTAAAATATGGAGAACAGAATCAACGTACAGTTCACAGATTTAAGACTTCATTTTATCTCCTCCTGAATTCCTCTTCCTTGTTTCCCTCCCGTTTTTTACTTAAAACTTGCCAGTAAAGCAGAACCCACTCGAAGTTGTGTTATTATCGCCTCATCTATATGATCTAGAACACCCCTAGCCACACACCCAAATATCTAAGGCCTATCTATTTAACATACCAGATAAAAGTACGATCATCAACTGCGAATACCTAGCGGCAGGACCGTTGGGATCTACAACCATGAATCACAGAGCTGAATTAATCCTGAAGGCTACACCTTAACATTATGCAACTTCCACTTTACATAATGCCTCTTTGGCCTTGGTGCACATGGCAGGTTATCCCCTTTATTCTTTGGTCATTCATGATTTCATTCCTTCCTTTAACCCTTTATCTCCCAGAGAACTGTATTCTTTGCTTGCTGCTGTAACCAAGCATCACATCCTTCCTCCGGTTTATGTTGAGGTTTTGTGTATATATAAGTGATGAGTTCAGGCATTCAGACGCCTCGCCCTCTCCTGTCCTAGCCACTTGTTTCTCCTACCACCAAAATGTTTGACACCGATCTTCTAATTCCTTCGTCTTCTAATAGCTAGAAGCATCATTCCATTTCCAATTTTTGTTGGTGTTTTCACTCATTTTTATGGTTTCACATCCAGTCTAGGATTAATAATTTTTTCTAGTTACAAAACCAAAAGGCCGAAAAATAGTTGGTGTTTCTCCTGTCGATTCTTCTCTCTCACGTATAAATAATAGTCTTTCTTTCTAGGTATCAATACAAAAAAAAGTGCACATGTTCCACTTTTAATCCCCTTTTCTAGTCATCCCTTAAAAGAATACAAAAAATCTATTCGTATTTTGCCCGCTCATTGTTGTCGTTTCGCATATACAAAATTTTCTTTGTTTCTAATGATCAGTAAAACAAATGATTGCACGCTCGACTGCGCCATTGCTCTTCCATATCTACATTGCAATCCCTTTTTCTACTGATAAACATTGAAAAAATAGCGTTTGTGTTTCCCTTTACAGTTGATTTTTCAGACCTGCCACTACTCAATTTAATTAGCTCTAAATTTCAGTTGAAAAAGACAAAAAAAGTCATCGGCTTTCCATCATTGCAATTGTGTTATTCTCTTATCCATGCTTCGTTGTCTTCTCTAGGGATATATACTGAAAAAAATCATTGGTTTCACCCCTTTGTTGTTTGTTCTCGTTTATCATTGCTTGCTTTTCTAGTTACCATCCACCAGAAATACCAAAAGATAAAGATTGTTGGCTTGTCCCACCACTGAGTTTCTAAGTAGATCTGGTTGATCAGGCCATTTCTTGGCATCCATATTATGGTGCCTAATTCAACTGCCAGGTAATTCATGTATTCTTCTATGTGATTTTTTACTCACTTCTGGGCTATATACTTACGATGGCTAATAAGCAAGGTCAATTTGCTTGTGTTTTCTTATGACCATACAAGTAAGCTAGTGTGCAGCTTTTAAGCAGAACATGGACAATTAGTATTTATTTGGCAGCCTTTAGTTCAAGTATTGCTGAATATATGTTTCTTGGTGATCTAAGAACCTACATGACATTATATTATACAAAGTTATGCCGAGTTTAGGTTTCTTAGCCGCTGAGAGGTAAAACATACATTGATGGTTAATTAATCACTATTATTTCTACAAAGCACACCCAGTACAATTTCCTCTCCTAAAATTTCAAGCATGGTTATGGTTACAATGTTTATGTATATAGTCCATTCATTCTTAATGTAAGAGATGTCAATGTCAAGTTTATGCTTACAATTATTCATGATTTTGTTCTTTTAACAATTTACCTTCTGAGAAAAATGCATTCATTGCCTATTACTATAACCAAGCATCCCATCTTTGGTCCATTTTATGGTTCAGTCCCTCAGTTAGTGTATATATAGGCCATAAGAGTGCATTCATTGAAATCCCCGACCCTCTCCTTCCCAGAAATTCGTCTTATCTGCAAGTAAAAATTATCGAGATTGTTCATCAGAATTCTTTAATTTCTGTCCTAGCTAGAAGCATTAATTTAATTTCAATTCTCATTGTTGTTTTCCTCTCAGTTTTATGCTTTCATATCTAGTTTATGATTAATCTTTTTCTAGCTAATCAAGAAAAACTGGTCTTTTTCACTGTTGATTCTTATTCTTTCACATATACAAAATAGTCTTTTTTTTGTAGTGATAAATAACAATTAAGCAAAATATATCCACATTTCTATTCATCTTTGCAAAAAAAAAACGAAAAATCCTTTGGTGCTTTCCTCGTTGATTGTTGTTCTTTCACACATCCAAAATAGTGCTTGTTTCTAGTGATCAATACAGAAAAAAATAACTGTTGTTCTTTGATTGCATGTTCCATTCACCATAGCTGTTGCACATCTAGAGTACGATCCCTATTTCTAGCGAGTAATCAACATTTCAAGAAATCATTTTTTTACCTTTGCTGATGTTATTTCAGATCCGTAACAACTATTTTTTATCTAGTTTCGCATTATGAAATGGTGTAATAAATCACTGGATTTTCATGTTTGCTATTGCGTTTCTTGTTCTGTCTAGACTTCATTTACTTTTTCCATTGATCAATACAAAAAATCATTGGCTTCCACATTTGTTGTTTCTTCATGTTTAATTTTCTTGCTCTTCTAGGTATCTGCTCCACCAAAAAGACTAAAATGATTATTGACTTTTTCCCCGTTATTCAGATTTTTCAAGTAAATCTAGTCGATTAGATCAATCGTCTCTTGACATTCTCCCAGGAAAAAAAATCATCTCTTGATATTTATATTGCTGACATAGAGTGCCCCTTAAATGAGGTATTTTTTTATCTCTTGCTTATTTATTTCTTGGTGGTATAACACCTAACAATGTCAATTGCTTCTGTTATCCCAGGACTGCGCAAGGAAATTACTGTGCAACAATCAAGCTAAATCAACGAGAATTAATATTTATTTTGCATCCTTCATTTTAAGTGTCGCTGAATATTGTTTCTTGGTGAGTTAGAAGGCAAGTTCTGAGAGGTAAATATGTGGTTACTCTAATTTCAACTGAATTCAACCACCTAACAATCTCGATGTCTTCAGTGTTGCTTGAAATAAATCTAGGTCTTTTTTCTATTAAAAAATAATGCCTATACAAGGAAAACTACATGTGTTTGTAGAGAATAATTTAAAACATAATAATATGTAAACATTTCTCTGTCATCTATGCTAGAGCAAAGAATTCGTATTCGCTCAAACTTCTTGTGCCAGATCTACATGTTCTATAGAGAAAACTGTAGAGGTTGTCACAACCTGACATTTTTCATGTAGGTCAAAGATACCGGAGGAAATCCCCTAATAGTGATATTAATAAATTTAGACAATAAACAAGAGTCATGAACATGTCAAAATGAATTTGAGAGAAAAACCGACTTCGGCTACGGACATCCATGCTCCAAATAGAAATGTTTCCCCATCCTCCTCTCGTTCCAAGTAAAAGACTCCTCACCCAGAAAAATCAAAGACTACTCCACTTGTGTCTCCCCTTGTCCATCTTACCACCATAGTTTGGAATCTTCCTTCCTTGAACATCTGTTCAAGAAATAGCCATGGAAGGTATCCTTCTTATCCTTCCGTCTGCCTTCTTAAATGGCAGCCAGCACCGTCCAAGTACAACGTACTGCTCATTGCTCAAGAACTAGATCTGCAATTACTCCCTGTTTCAGTCCTTACTATCCTTATAGTATGTCTTGGACCAAACGGGTACTTTCTTGCTAAGGTTCTTTGTTTAGTAAGTGTGGGATTTCTATTATTAGGAGTACTATCCACTTTACGCGCATTCTATAGAATTTCTTTGTTTTGCGCAAATACTAGTGATAATGTGATTCCTTATAAATAACCGATTCACATAATCTTTTTCCTGCATGTCAATTAGTTGCAAACTAGCAAGTTTGGTACACTACGGAACATAAGTCATGGCATCATCTTCATGGAAAAAATGGCCCGATCATGTGCTGGATAAAAGGCGTGACGATCTGAGGGATATAGAGTTTTGGTATGATTTCTAACTTCTTAATTTACATTCATTACTTTTACAAAGTGCGTTTTTATTGGTTATCCATGTTTTATTTTTTTGTCACAACAACCTTAAAGTGATTATTTTACTTAATAATCATAACACATTCATTTAGTCCTCTACCAAACACATATCTGACATGATATTCTCTATCCCCAAACGCATCTGGTCCTCTACCATAGAACTAGGGGCTGAAATCCTATCATGAGGTTGCTTGGCCATTGCCATCAATAGACTTAGATCGTACATGCAGCAAAAGTTGAGAGAAATAGTTTGAAATAGATACGGACTAACATGCTGGTGAACAAATTAAGTTAGATAAGGTCTGATTTGATTATCTGGTGTATTTTAACAAGTACATTTTTCCTTTTTGGACATAAAATTTTACTGAATATATCTTTGTTTACTGTAACAGAACAGTTCAACAGAAATAAATTTCAGAATTCAACTAGATATCACAACAACTACAAACTGGGCAAGACATTTAAAGTACTTGCAGAGTTTATTTGGCATGCATGACTTTTGAAGGTCTATGTGGAATGTATATACATATATATATATACATACATATATATATATACATACATATACATATATACATATATACATTTGCTCCTGTGAATCATAATTTCCGCACGGGCTCTTGAGTGGATATTGGTGCTTGTACCTGAGAATTTATAGCCGCAGCTTTCCCCGATGGGAAAAAATCATTTAGGACATGTGGTCCAGTCAATTGCCAACCGACAAGTTTTCAACGGTCGCAATTTCAGCACAATGGTAACATTGCTTGCGGAGCAAGTAAAGTTAACTCCTCGGTCCAAAGGATATCTCTTGCTGCCAAGAAATCAACATCTCTGGCTGACAAGCAATCACTCGGTGCACAGTCTATTTTAGCATTGACAGTGTTCAAGAAAGGTCTACCAAATATAATGGGACAAAAGTCATCTTGTGGGGAACCAAGAACTAGAAAATCGGTATGGTATTTTATTTTCCCACACAAGACTTCAACATCTCTAACGATCCCAAGTGGTGTGATGGTGTCTCTAATAGCAAGTTTAATAGTAACATCTATGTCTTCTATTTCACCGGGTTCTATGTCATCCATAATTTCTTGATATAAAGTAAAAGGAACAACACTTACGCTAGAACCTAAATCACATAAACCATGATAACAATGATCTCCTATTTTGACTAAGACAACAGGCATGCCAACAACCGGTCTATGTTTATCTTTTTAATCATGTTTGGCAGTTCTAGCAGCTTCATCGCAGAAGTAAATAATATGCCCGTCAATATTTTTATACCAATAGATCTTTAACCATAGCAACACTAGGTTCAACTTTGATTTCTTTTGGTGGTCTAGGTACTGTAATATTACTTTTGCGAGCCACAGTTGAAACCTTAGCATGTTCCTTTATCCTAACAGGGAAAGGTTTTTTTATATAAGGAGTAGGCACACCTGGATCAACATTGTAAATGATAGTTTCATCTGTAGCTATTGTTGGTTCTTTAATTTCTTCTTTAATAGGGGGATGGTATTCAAACAACTTCTCCTTAGGGAGATCAACATGTGTAGCAAAAGATTCACAAAATGAGATTACTATCTCAGAGTCGAGTCCATATTTAGTGCTAAACTTTTGGAAAGCATCGGTATTCATCAAAGATTTAACACAATCAAACTCGAGCTTAATACCTGACTCTTTACCTTCGTCGAGCTCCCAATCTTCAGATTTGCGTTTAATTCTTTCTAAAAGATCCCACCTAAATTCAATAGTCTTCTTCATAAAAGAACCAGTACAAGAAGTATCGATCCTGGATTGGTCATTACGAGAAAGCCGAGCATGAAAAATTCTAAATAATAATTTCTCTTGAGAGCTCATGATTGGGGCATGAATATAACATTGAGTTAAGCCTCCCCCAAGATAGAGGGATACTTTCTCCTTCAAGAGGCCAAAAATTATATATAAAATTCCGATCATGATAAACGAGATGCATAGGATAATTTTTTGGTGAAATTCCAATTTCAATTGATTCCAGCTCCAAGATCTAATATTATCGCATAGCCTATACCATGCCAATGCTCCCCCTACCCAAAGATAAAAGGAAAAACTTCTTTTTAACTTCATCTTCGGGTAAACCTGCAAGCTTAATAATCCACAAATTTCGTCCACATATATCAAGTGCATATCAGGATGTTCAGTTCCATCTCCTGCATAAGGATTAGCTAGCAGTTGCTCTATCATACCCGAAGGAATTTCGTAACCAATATTTTCAGTAGGTGCAGTAGGTTGAAGGGAAATTAATTTTGGTTCCGGTCGAGGTGAATATACCCCGAACAAACCCCTCAATGGATTTTTTTCCATAGTAGCAAGTGACAATAAATTTCAGCACGTAGTAATAATTTTTCCTTACCAATTCCCACTTTCCAAGAGCACTTCACTCCCCGGCAACAGCGCCATAAAAGAGCCTTGATGACCCACAAGTATAGGGGGTCAATCATAGTCCTTTCAATAAGTAAGAGTGTCGAACCCAACGCGGAGCAGAAGGAAATGACAAGTGGTTATCAGCAAGGTAATTTTTGCAAGAACTGAAATAACGGTAACAAGTTGTTTGATAGCAATATAATTGTAACAAGTAGCAAGTAGCAATAGTAACAATAAGTGCAGCAAGGTAGCCTAATCCTTGTGTGGCAAAGGACAAGCCAAAACGGTTTCTTATAATAGGCAAAGCGTTCTTGAGGGCACATGGGAATTTCATCCAATCACTTCCACCATGTTGGTTTGATTCGTGTTCCCTACTTTGATAATTTGATATGTGGGTGGACCGGTGCTTAGGTGTTGTTCTTACTTGAACAAACCTCCTAATTATGATTAACCCCCTCGCAAGCATCTGAAACTACGAGAAAAGTATTAAGATAAAATCTAACCATAGCGTTTAACATTTGGGTCCAAATTGGTCCCTTACGAAGTAGCACATAAACTAGGGTTTCAGCTTCTGTCACTCCTGCAACCGATCATCTAATAAATACTCCACAATGCATTCCCTTAGGCCCAAATATGGTGAAGTGTCATATAGTCGACGTTCACATGACACCACTAAGGGAATCACAACATTCATATCATCAAAATATCAAACACATATCAAGTTCACATGATTACTCGCAGCAAGATTTCTCCCGTGGCCTCCAGAACAAAAGTAACTACTCACAAGTGATAAACATGCTCAAGATCAGAGGGGTATTAAATAGCATAATGGATCTGAACATATAATCTTCCACCAAATAAACCATATAGTAATCAACTACAACATGTAATCAACACTACTAGTCACCCAGAAGCACCAATCTAAGGTTCCGGTACAAAGATTGAACACAAGAGATGAACTAGGGTTTGAGAGGAGATGGTGTTGTTGAATATGTTGATGAATATTGGCCTCCCCAAGATGAGAGGGTTGTTGGTGATGACGATGGCTTCGATTTCCCCCTCTGGGAGGGAAGTTCCCCTGTCGGAATCGCTTCGCTGGAGGGCAAAAGTGCTCCTGCCCAAGTTCCGCCTCGAGACGACGGCGCTTCGTCCCGAAAGACCTCTCTTTATTTTTAGGTCAAAATGACTTATATGCAAGAAGAGGGGCAGCAGAGGTGGGCCGAGGAGGGCACAACCCACCAGGGCGCGCTTGGTGGCCCTAGCGCACCCAGGTGAGTTGTGCCCACCTGGTGGGCCCCTCTGGTACTTATTTGATCCAATATTTCTTATATATTCCATAAAAAATCTCTGTGAAGTTTTAGCTTATTTGGAGATGTGCAGAATAGGTGGCTTGACGTAGCTTTTCCAGGTCTAGAATTCCAGCTGCCAGTATTCTCCCTTTCTGTGTAAACCTTGCATAATATGAGAGAAAAGGCATTAAAATTACTCCATAAAGCATTATTATGCATAAAAATATTAGACATAATAGTAGGAAAACATGATGCAAAATGGACGTATCATTGACACACAAACTATTCTGTTTTGTGTCCATTGGAGGGACATGCAGATGAGAGTCTTGAGAGGGTTGACCCATATCAACGTTAAGACCGGTAGTTTGAGTGGACATATCTTCGAAATGAACACCACTATGAGCCACCTTCTTTTTCTTATCAATTACAAGAGGCTTCCAAAATTCATGGTTGGTCAAGCGATACTTAGTGAAGAGTGGGAGAAGTCCGCCCTTCTCAAATAAAGTTGGAACATGGCCCAAAGACACGTTAATTCCTCTTGAATACATAAGTGTGAAGCTCCTCAAACATGAAGTCCAGACCATCAATCTTCTTCTCATGATCATAGACCATAAAGTCAATCATAGTGCCACGAAGCTCATTGGAATCCATAAGCTTGGGAGTAATGCAAACCTTGAAGATACAATGAAGCCAATCAAAATTTGGGGACAAATTATTGATGTGTCTCACCACCAAGCTAGATCCCTCCGAATAGCACACAACAAGACTATCCTTGTTGCGATGAGTGTAATTTTTCACACAAGCATACACTGGCAAATGGATAACCAATGATCTTTAGAAAAATATCGCGCTTTACCAGCACAATACATCTAGACATCCAATGGAGCATATTTTGTACCCCTTTTATGTAGGATTTTTCACGAGTCCAACGGGGAGCAAATAGAGAATATGATATCAGTAGGTTCTCTATTCAAAACAACTTGTAAACATGACTTGTTCCTTGTTTTCCATATTGACTACAAGAGAGCAGCAACACCAAGTGTAACAACAACTCTATCTTTTCTAGTGTAGCATAGATCAAGGAAGGACATGATACCTACTACACAACTTGTTCTTGTAGACTCGTGTTGGGCCTCCAAGCTAAGAGTTTTGTAGGACAATAGCAAATTTCCCTCAAGTGGATAACCTACGGTTTAACAATCCTTGGGAGGTGTAGGATGAAGATGGTCTCTCTCAAGCAACCTTGCAATAAAATACAAGAAATCTC